CCCCCGCCGCCCGCCTGCGGGGCTCTGGGCGCTGCAGACACTTGAGCTGCCAGACCTCGTCTCCGGGGTCAGAAGCCAATAGGCATTTAAATGCAGCGGGGGCGAGCGGCCGTGCCGCAGACCTCAGCCGTCTTCAGTTTCAGCCATCGTGAGAAGGAGGTGAAGGAGCTGCTCTGACGTCCGCCCAGGCATCTTGCAAAACACTGCTCAGGCAGCGGCCTCGGGGAGCAAGGGCCTTGGGGTGGCGGCTCTCCCACCTGCCTGAGTTCAGACCGCTGCTGACCACAGCTGTAAGGCACAGAGCCTGCTCCGAGAGGCGCTCCTGAGGAGGGGCTGTGCGGGCTGTGCCTGCCTGAGAGCGAGCCCTCTGTCAGGCAGCCACGGGACACGGGGTGGAGTGGGGCTGCCGCCCGCTCTGCCCTGGCTGTGAGGGCTGCCTGCGCTCCTCGCCAGTGGGCTCCTGAGACCCAATTTCCAATGAGGTGTGATGCCCACAGCAGCGCCCAGAAGTGCATTCTGGGCCTTTTTTTAATGGGACGTGTGGATCCTGGGAGCTGGTTCGGGTGGGGTCTGCTGACCTGCCTCTTGGGCCCCCAGTTGTGCTGGAGGAGGGGCTGGGTGGCTGGCAGCTGAGTGAAGCTGGAGGGGGCAAAAGGGGCTCCCTCTGCCTATTGTGGAGCCTACAGACGGGGTAGGGGTCCCTCGGCCTGCTGTGGAGGCTGCAGACAGGGTCGTGGACCCCTGGTTTCAGTTGGGCAGCCTCAGGCACCTGCAGTCCTGAGGGACTGATTAACAGCCTCAGACTCGGTGCTGACAGCCCTCTGTGTCAGGGCGTCTTGGTGCATCCCGTGCACAAGGCACTTGCTCCATGGTGACAGCTGTCTGCAGGGCTTGGGGAGGGGTCCAGGTGCCCATGGCCCTGTTACTCTGAGCCTGTGCTCTGAGCACTGCTGTGAAGGGGACTGTCCCCTCCAGCCCCTCCCAGCAGGTGCCTCTTCATCCCCCAGGGTCAGGGGCCAAGTCTGGTCCACTCGGGCCAAGGGTGAGGGCTCGCCAGCGTGTCTGCGGTGCCTGTGGGGATGCTTGCAAAGCTCGTAGGACAGATGGCACCATGGGGACAATCTGGGAGGCTGCGTGATGCCCTCCCCAGTGTGAGTGTGCTGGTGCAAGTGTGCACACATGTGAGTGCATGTGTTTTACCCCCGCCTCACTAGGAAGCAGCGCCTTCATCTCCTCCCTGGAGCTGGCACTGGGCACAACTGGTGGGCCTGTGACGTGTCTGGCAGCCAGAGCGTCATTGTCCCGAGCTGGACACAGCTGGCCTGCGCTGGCCTGATGAGGGTCCGACTCTGCAGGGAGGTGGCCACCAGGGGTCACTGTTGCTGCTTCATCTTTGCCACCGCCTGGGGCCTGACTTCCACACAGGGAGGGGTGGATGAATGTCAAGTTTGGACAGTGTGATTTGGAGCTAATGGGTGCTTACCTGAGCAGGTGCAGCCCCTGGGCCGGGTGTGGGGCTGGGTTCCTCCTGAAGGCACGCATGGAGCCGGGGCCCCAGGCTGACACCTGTGATTACCCCTGCCTTTCCCAGGCACAGGTGGAGCTGCCACAGACCAGCCACTGTGGTCCTTGTGTTCTCAGGGTCACTGGCCACCTCACTGGGCAAGTGAGTGCACATGGTGCCCACTGTGTACAGTGTTCTGAGGCCCGGACTGCACATCGCAGGCCATCGCTCCTAGGGGTGTGGGGAGCAGCTGGGCTGATCCGGCCCAAGCCCCCTGAACACTCCCACCCCTACCCTCATGAGGAATCTGCACGTGGACGACCTGTTTCTCGGCTCTCCCCTACCCCATAATTACTCCAAGCCCACCTTTACTGCGCCCTCCCTTGTGAAGATTTTGTCATTGTGGCACCTTGTCTGCCTCTCTTCTTTCTCCAAAATCAGGAACATTGATCTTGAGGTTTCCAGGGAAGAGTTACACACACATGTTATTTCCATGAAGAAACGATTTACACAAGTGATTGAACAGGTAGGAGCATTGCAAAGTCCCTAGCAGTGCCCTAAGCTAATTACCCCTCTCGGAAAATCTGAGTGAGGTGATCACATTATATTTGTTGATTCCTCAGTCCCATCATCTCTTCCCAAAGAGATCATGAAGAAATGTGAAAAGGGCATTAGAAAAAGAAGGGGATGAAATGTCCTGAGTGCAGAGAAACGGTCACGTCACCACAGGAAACGCAGGCAGAGCCACCAGAGGCCACATAAGTGGGAAAGGTCTGTGACCTGATGTGAGCCGCCCGTGGCCTGGCGGTGGCAGGTGAGGGGTCCTGCCCCTGCCCCGAGCCCAGGCCTCGGGTTCCTCCTCTGGCCCCTCGTGACGGATGTGTGGTGGTGCTCTCAGGTGGACGCTCCTCAGCAGAGGCCTTTCATGGGAGCCCCAGACACATCCCAGGGGACTTAGCAAAACGGTTCTCAGGGGGAGACCGAGACCAACTTGTTCACGCCTGGGGCTGCCTGGTGGTCTGGCCTGCTGGTCACGTGGCACATAGACAGATATGTGTGTGTGCATCCACAAATACACACACACACACACACACACCTAGATGGGCACATATGACATAGACAACACACATGAGCATGTGCCGCATGTGTGCATACACGAGCATGCACACACAGCGTGTGTGTGTGTGCATTCACATAGACACATGCATATACAAGTACACATATACCTATAACCATAAACCCATGGGCACCTACACATGCACACATGAACACAATACATGCATGCATGCAAAACACATGTAGGCACACCCAGATGCACACGGCTGTGCATGGACATATATGCACACATGGGTAGACACATGCATGCATCTATACATGCATACGCACATAAATGTGTATGCACATGCACATACAAACACACCCATCAACACTTTTCTGAGAATATACTTGTAACATTGTACACCAGAAACCAAATTTAAAGAATGATGGCATTCTACCTCCAAAGGGAAATAATTTACTCAAGCTATTCCAAAACAGTCAGGATATGTCTTTGGCCATTTCTCCCTCGGAACCTGAGTGATTGGGTGTGTTACCTGAGGGGGGTGATCCTCAGGTGTGTCTCTAGTAGTGTGAGTGCCACGGAGGTTGGGCTGGGGGAGCCCAGGAGCCTGATTTCTCTTCCTCCTGCTCAGCTGCTGACCCCTCCATGGCCCCCACACTCAAGCCTTGGTGTCCTCCTTGGTAACATGTGGAGTTAGGCCATCTCGATGCTCCTTCCAATCCACACACTACAGTTCTGCACCCAGGGTGTTCCCATCTGACAAGCAACACCAACAAACAAATGTCCTAGACCCAAAGAGCAGTGGGGTGACCACCAGAGGGAGGGAGGGTGGGGCAGGTAGAAGAGGGTAATGGGGTGGTGGACACACAGCACAATATACAGAGGATGGGTTATAGAACTGCACACCTGAAGCCTATATAATCTCATTAACCAATGTCACCCCAAAATGCAATAAGAAGAAAAAAAATAAAATGCGTTAATTAGTAAATAGAAAAGAGGAAATATGGAAGTTTCAGATACATTCTAAAGAGTCTTCATTTTCTCCCCTTTGCCCCCTCCTGCCCCCCACCCTGTCCTGGCCCTCCCACTCATACCACCCACAGGCACAGAGTTCTTGGCACAAAACCAAATCCGAGAACAGGGACACTTGTTGTCTGTGTTCTTACCGAAGACTGTTCATCTCCCCAGGTGGTGGCCGTGGGGACGAGACCCTCCCTTCCTCTAAGGGAGCTGTCACTGAATCATTCTGGGTGTAGGTGGCAGATGCATGAATTTTGGTGAGGCACTTGGGCGAGGCAGTGCCGGCAAGCTCAGCATGGCAGGGGTGTGGCGGAAGTGGGCCCCTCGTGGTCACCGTGGCTTGCTCCCAGCAGCGGGCAGAGCCTCTGGCCTTTGCAAAGTCCCGCAGAAATCTGCAAAGTGCTCGCAACACGTAGGATGATTTTCTGCTAATCACACGGTGCTGTCCGTCTAAGCACATGGATGAGATCAGACCGGCAATTACCCAGTCAGCCTGGCACTGGGCACATGTGCTTCTGCTAATTAAACTTGTTGCATTTGAATGGCTTTCTTCAGCTCCACTCGGGGCAGCGACACTGCTGGGAACAATGAGAAACGCGTTTCCCTCCGTCCAGCCTGGAACTGCAGATGGCCGCGCTGTGTGTCCCACACGGGGCCCTGAATCGGTCTTTTGTGTGCAGGAAAGGCGGTCATTTGAATGTTTGAGCCCCCACAGGAAGCTTGTCTCAAAGTGAGCAATTCGAGAAGAAAGACTCGCTGGGGCCTAAATTAATTGGAAGGTGTGGTTTGGACGGACACTGATGAGCAGGGCCTGTCCCTGCAGACGGGGAGGGAGCTGCAGGGTCTGCCCCATTTGGGCACCCTGCACCGAGAGCACCTCTCCTTCGCCGCGTCCTTTGAAATCCCCCTCGCACCCACCCACCTGCCTGGCGGGTCTGGCCACCCTCACGCATCTAGCGCCTCCCACGTGGTGCCCGCACGGAAGGCGCTCCTCGTGGCTTCTGCAAATTAATATCATGCTTCCTGGTGTTCTGTGTCTCATCTGGGAAACTGGCCCGGAGTGTTACTGACTTTTTTGTCAAAAATGTGAAAGTCGCAGCCTGGAAATTACAAAAAGGGAGGCGTGGGGAGGGGTGGGGAGGGTCAGAGGAGGGAAGGGATGGGAACGTGGAATAAAAATACAACTGGCACTGGGATCCCGAGTCTCTTCTCTCCAGCTTTGCCTTTGTTTCCCGTGCACTGTGCTCTTTATTTAAACAAAGCCACAGCTCTCCCAGCCTCTTGAATTCTCACAGTCCTTTGGTGACTTTTTGACACCATTTCCAAAGCCTCGGCATGGTACAAGGACGGTGTCATCTCTGCCTCCTCTTTGAAAATGAAACATTACTTTCTCTCTCTGCCTCCCTTCTCGCACAGATGGAGTGTTTGGAAGGTGCCAGAAGGTTCCAGTGACAGACACCTACCGCTATGAGGTGTCACCGGGGGTCCTGCAGCACCTGACGACCACCTTGCAGAAGCTGTCCCGCACAGGTAGGCCGGCCCAGCCAGCAGCCTGAGGGGGGAGTTCCAGGGATTGCCATTCCGCTGGGCACTCAGCAAGCACTTTACTTCTCAAACTCTGAGGGCCTCTTCGGTAGCGAGGGAGCAGAAAGGGACGTAGTGAGCCAGGGTGGCAATGCAGAGCGGAGGGCTGGGCGCAGGGGGTCTTGGTCACGAAGGTCATGAGGCGGGTACTCCCTTCGGGGTGCGAGGTGGTAGGGTGGCCGCCAGGTGCATGGGAGGAACCACAGGCACTCCAGCTGCGGTTCACGCCAGAGCTCAAGAGGGTGCTCACCTTGGCCGACCTCATCCGACCCCACTGCTGATCAACCTCGAGAAAATCAGTCACCTCCACCTACGTTGTTACACCAAGTGTTGTCACACAGTGATTTTGGAGGGAGTTCCTGCTACCTGTTTACTTCATGGGCTGCTCAGATCATTCAAAATTTCTAAAATTTTAATAACTTGAAAATTATTCTCTGTGACTTATTATTTATAATTTACGTTATGTATATGCTTTTTAAATTGAGGGTGAAGTGTGAGTATGGCCCGTCCTGTTTCTGAGGTAAAGCGGGGGCTCCTCGCGCCCCCAGAGCCTGGACAAGAGGCCGATGGTGAGCACACATGTGTGGGTGAGCATGCAGGTGCAGCGCTTGGAGGAACCTCCTGTGGTGGTCAGGACACAAAAGGCCCCGCCCTGCAGGGGGCAGGCCTGCAAGCGAGGGGCCAGGAGCCACGTCCCTGGGAGTCACAGGCTCCCCCGGCTCTGAGCTGCTTCGTAAAGCAAAGTCTGTGCCGACTGAGCGTGGGGAACAGCACTTGTTCTTCTTCCGTCTCGGTGTTCACGGCACACGTTGGCTTGTGAAGGTCTCGGAAAGCTCTGAGTGGAGGGTCAGCAGATGTGGACCCACGCATGAGGGGGCCTTGTGCACAATCAGTCGTGTGATTAGTGACAGGGTGTGGCCATCCACAAGTGTGGGAGCTGGCCGAGTGGCCCTCCCCGGCTGCAGTCCGTGCACCTGGGCCTGGGACGATGGATCTGAGTGGGTCATCGAGGAGGACGGGAGCCCGTGTCCGTTCCCAGGGCAGAAGCTGGCCCCTCGCTGGGGAGCCAGAGAAGCTGAGAGCGGCCCTGAGGCGGCGGGGTGGCAGGCTTGCGCCAGCAGGGGCTGCAGGTCAGAGCGAGCCGGCAGAGGACACGATGTGTTTCCGCTAGGGTCCTGCTTCGCCTCATTCTCCGTAATCAAGTCACGTCACGTGGTAACTGGGTGGCCCATGGTCAAGTGTCCAGTCTCCACGGAAGCCTAGTTGCCGGCCAGGAGCAGTTTCTTGACAGGAGCGTAGTTATCTGCAGAGACTGTCCCCTCTGTGCTCCCAAGGGTGTGCATGGTGGTTCCCCTGAGGGGCCTGCTGATGTCCTGTGGGGACCAGAAAGTGTCACAGGCTGGAGAGCTGATGTGCTTCTCGGGCATCGTGGTCCATGGTGCACAGCGAGGGCCACCTTCTCAGCAGGAGAGGAAGGGGTGCCTCTCCCGGCTTGGTGAGCTTTGGGGTCAGTGTCCACCTTCAGCAGGACCCACCCATCTGCCTGCACCCCAGCTTTCAGCAGCTGCTCCTTTCTGGGCAGTGCCCCAACGTGGTAAAGGCCCCGTGCAGGGTGGTCTGAGCCGTAGGAGGCACAGCTCATTAAGGAGGCGGTGGAATGCAGAGGCAGGCGAGCTTTTTAATTAGTAGATTTATTTCAGTGCATGTGTGGATTTACAGACAACTGAGCAGGAAGTAGAGTGTGCATATGCTCCCTCACCCCCGACCCCTGAACAGTTCTCCCTATTCTTGCATTGATTACTGTGGTTCACGTGTGGTGATTAACAAGTCATTCCTGATACCTCACTCACTAATGTCCACAGTGTACGTCAAACAGTGGACAACACCCCTGAGCTGTTGGGGGCACCCTTTGGGGGAGACAGGCTCTAATCCTGCTGGTTTCCTGGGCATGGCTCACATGATACGGGACAGTTTGGGGAAGGGAGTGTTTTCAGGGCCCCTGCCCTCACACCACCCAGGTCGCCACGTTTGCACGGCGGTGGCTGCATTCCAGCCACATCCTGCAGGCACGGATGCTCATCTGGGGGACAGAGAGCGGCTTCCCCTGCCACTGGGGAGCTGTCTCCATGAGGCAGGGAGGGAGGTGGGATTTAACTGTGCAGCTTCCGTCTTCCATGTGAACGTGTCCGTCCAGGACAGATACGTTCGCTTCATTGGCCAGTGCTTCTCCCACAGGCAGCTTTAGTTCCTGGGCAGACACATTGTTCTCTCGCAGATTAAATTTTTAAAAAATACATTTCACTTCTGACAATCCATTAAAATTCACTGGCATGTAATTTGCCGTCGTGAAAACAACTATGGATTCACTTCCTGGCCGGGCCTCCTGACGTATTGAGCTGTACATCAAAAGCAAAATCAAAAAAGCAAACTGAGAAAAACATATCTACCACAGTGCCGTGGTTCCTTGAAAGAGAATGGAAGGAAATCCTTAGTGATACGGAACAGGACCCAGAAAGCCCGAGCTGGCTGCAGCGAAGCAGACCAGGCTGGGGCGGGCGCTGGTTCTGGGCTCACTCTGCCCGAGCCTCCGGGTGCCAGGTCCATGGGGCGAGCTTCAGCGTTTCCTGGGTCTTCATCCCTGAGTGTTGTTCTGCCCACAGTCTGCCCACACGTTCTCACCCGTCTTCTGCCACAAATCAGGGTCCTTCCTCCTTGCTGAGGTCCAGCCACACTCCCCACCCCGAACTTCAGGGGGTCGTGTGCGATGGGGTGGGAGACGCAGAGGTGTGCATTGCGGTCTGCATAGTCACAAAGCCGCTAGGTGTTCTTCACGGGATTTACGTTCTATCGGGTGGACATTCACACGTGCAGGTGCATGGCTGAGGGACCACTAAGGGTGGGAAGTGGAGGATCGTGAGGGCCGATGGGACAGAACAGCAGCCGACTCCAGCCCGTTGGTCTCAGGCCCCAGCCCTCCTCACCCGCACCTGGAGCTTCCAGCTGCTCTGCATTCCCGTGAAGGGGCTGCTATTAACTACCCCAGCTTCATGCTTTCCAGCACGGAGTGTGTGCAACCACGGGTGAGAAAGGGGGCCGGAGGCATCACCTACAAACTTCAGTGACCCAGTGGCAGCCAAAGTCAAGCATGTGTCTACCCTATGCCTCGGCCACATTCCTTTACCTGTATATTTGCCGACATGTTAAGGCGGAGCCTTGAGCAGGTGTGAGGGAAGAAGGAGCCCTGGTTGGACTCTGGGGAGGAGCCCGGAAGGTGAACTAACACTCAGGCCAACCAGACAGGTGCAGGTGTGCGCACAGCTTGGAGCGCTTTCCTCCTGTGCATTTTCCTCTCACTGGTACTTAGCCAGCGGCTGAGAACGAAGCCAGGCACGTGTCCCGCACCTGCTGTGGAGATGCAGCCAGTCACTCATCCACGCCCACACCCAGGCAGCGGGCATCCAGTGGGAGGGGTGGTTCAGCCAGACGACCCCTGGGGCGCACCCGGCCGTCCCCTCTGGGCCCCAGCCTGGCAGTCAGATGCCAGCCCCCAGTCTCCACAGGAGCGTCTCGGGCAGCTTTGGAAGACCGGCCCAGGATGGACACAGGCCAGCCAGTCTGCTGCCTGCCGCTCAGATTTGGGCTTGAAAATCAATTCCTGCAGCCCTTTTATAAAAGAGCAGCGTCACCTTGGATAAGCTGAGTATGAGTGTCATAAGAGAATATCATGAGCATCATGTTCTAAGGAATGTGAAAAAGTAAATAAACTACAAACCAATGAAAGTGACTCAGAAAGGCAGAGAAAACTTGAATAAGCCCAGACTCATTAAAAACTTTACATAGCTGAATTTTCAAAAAGTAGTTGTGCATGCCACGAATGGGGCCTGCAGTCATGTTGGGAGATTGCTCTGTCCTCAACACGGGCCTGGACTCCCGCGGGCGTGACGGCACAGCCCAGAGCATGGGATCGTGGATGCCGAGCCCACGTCAGCTCAGGGCCCGGCTTGTGCCGTGTGCGCGCAGCACCTCCAGCTCTGCTGGCCTTCGCGTCACTCAGCCTTGCCTACCATTTCCTGTTTGGGGAAAAATCCCCTTGAACTGGACTTCTTTCTGGGTCCATATTTGCTTATAGTGCCTCCTTATTGGCTATAAAGGACCCTTCTTCCTGGTGGGTTTTGCAGTCAAAGGATAAATAAGGGGTCTTAACTAGAAGAAGACCCAAGACAAAGGTTTTCTCTCTGCCTCTAAACAGAAAGAATGGTCAAAGGAGCTCGCCGTCCATGGCCTGAGGGTTGCTGAACTGGAAGGAGATGAACGGTTGTCATTGTCTACACAGCAGAGGGCACTTCTCCGCCTTCCTCAGCCTCCTGGGAAGGTTTCCTGCAAACTCGGATCTCGTCCTCCCTTTGAGAAGTGGTTTCCAGGTTATCGAAAGCCAAAGTGTTCGCAGCTCCTTCTGCTGCTGACGAGTCTGAAGTAGAGAGAAAATAGTCCCGTAGGTAGGACAGAAAATGTGAAGGGTTTTTAGAGCTTTTCTTTCCTCAGGTCTTCAAAGCCATGACACCAGGAGCTCCCACGCTCCGAGCTGCCCCTCTGGGGACTTGACCCCAAGAGAGTGGGTCTTACTTTGCACAGTGAGTTTTCACCACTTTCTCTTAAGGAGCAGTGTAACTAGGAAGCTTGATGTCCTTGGATGTACAGATCTGGTATTTTCTAAGACATTCAGGACTTCCAGAACTCCAGCTCCTCATGCCTGCTGCCCAAGCCTGGCCTTCTCCTGGGTCCCCCATGTTGTGTCTGTGATGCCACAGGTCTCCTGGGAGCCCCATGGGGTGGGGGCCTCTGTGCCCAAGAACCACACACTCTGCCGCATCTGCAGCCTCAGAGACAGTTGGTCATGGGAGGATGGGCCCAGAAGGATAGATTAACAACATAAGTTCATCTTTCTG